TAAGACGGTCACGAACATTAGATTCTTACAACAATCCAAGTGAGAAGTGATGAAGCCGGAACGAGGGCAATGCACAGAGAAGAGGGTACAGGGTCAAGGAGGAACCAGAACTTCGTAGCTAAATGGACGGGGCAGCTTAAGATAGAGGCAGAGCGTCTGGCTTTGTTGGTTGAGTGCATGGTGATACCTTTAATGAAGGAGCATGTTGGAGGAAAACCTCGAGTTCAGGCTGAGATACAATTGGTTTCCCTCCATCCGACATCTAATGAGATGGCGTGCTAGTCTGTGACTCACGGCTATCAATATGCATTTGGGGGAGTCATCAACAACCCCATAATTAGAAGACTGAGAACACAAGAGACCTTCCAGAAGGAGAAGGGAAGAGCAGGGGTTCAAGGAGAGAGTTCTGGGGAATCAGTGAGGATGCACTCACGATGGAGACTACAGAAGGAACATTCTGACATGGAGGAGGAAAACCAGGCGGGTATGGAAGAAAGGAGTCTATCAATGATATAGAGAGATGTATGGATAAATACACACAGACAAAATGCCATACAACCTTTTTTATAATTCCTAATATTGTTATGGATTCAAGTGAAGGGGCATCCCAGGCAAACCAAACCAAGCCACACCTCACACCACCAGGCCCCCTGGCATAGCTTCCCAGGGTAGCTGGCTGCTTCCTCATCACTCCCCAAATGCAGTGTGGACCTTGACCAAGCCCCCTCTCTGAAGACTTCCTCCCCTTTGCCCTCTGTTTTCCCATGAGTGAAATAAAAGGGTTGGATTAAGATCACAGCCAACAGTGTATATGTCCATCAACAGCTGAGTAGGTGAAACAAATTGTTGTACAGCTGTACAACGGAATATTACACAGCAATGAAAAGGAATGAACTCTATTCAACAACATAGATGACTCGCCAAATAATCATTCTGGGTAAAAAAATAAAAGCCAGACAACCCCCTCCCCCCAAAAGAGTAAATACTGCATGATTCCATTTATATAAAATCCTACAAACGCAAAGTAAGCTAGAATGACAAGTTGTTGCTTGGGAATTAGGGAGTGGGAGTCACAGAGAGGACTTGGAGGGAAAGATTACACAGGGGCATGAGGAAGTTTGGGGGCACGATGCATGTGTTCGTTATCTCGACTGTGGTCATGGTTTCACAGATATATATGGATGGCAAAACTTATCAACTTGTGCACTTTATGTGCTTTTTATTGTATGTCAATTATTCCTCAACAAAGCTGTACAAACATATAATCACAAAATGATCTCTAGGGGACTTCCAACTGATTTCCAACTCAATTCTGTTTTCATGATCCCTCTTTGATCCCTTTACAGAACTCTCTTCAAGAAACATCATTAGCCCCAAGTAAATATCCTTGTGTTGTTACAAGGCACCAGTCCGAGGTTTGCCAGCTGGAAAAATTCTGAGTAACCCTCAATAATTAAGGATACAGTTCGTCACTTCTCTTCCCCCCGAAGCTCACCAAAATTTTACTGGGATCAAACGTCCTAAAAGATGACCTCTATTCCCTGTGTAGGGCATTAAGTAAAGAAGAAAAATCAAAATCAAACAAAAACTTTTTCCACCATCTTCCACTCTTGTGATACAAATGAACTGAAGCCAAAGATTTTAAGAGTCGCCTGACTCCTTTGGGGCTAACATGGTTGTTGATGAAAAGGGCTCTAAATGTGAAAGAAGGGGTCTCTTCCAGCATTGGAGTGACACCCTCACCAACAATTAGTTTGTTGGAGGACTAAACAGCAATCCAGGGATTGGGAGATGCGGACGGCTGTGGCGGGAGTATTTTTTTTAAATCCTGTTTCAACTTCCACCTGCAAAATGAACCAGCCCAATTTAAAGTTTCGCAACTTCTGACCACTGATCTACATTCCTGAAAGGTTACATATGAAATAAATGTGGTAAGTGTGTGTGCGTATGTGTTTTAAGTTGCATCATCATTCTCTAATTCATTTACTATAATGAAGAAAGAGACTTGGGGTCATTTGGATTCTGCCTTAGCAGCTTACAAGCTTTGTGATCTTGGACAATCCCTTAACTTCTGTAAGCGTCAACTTCCTCCCTAAAATGGAGCTGAACTCAAAGAGCTGAGCTGAAAATTCTACAAAATGAGAAAGGCACAGGGCCTGGTACGTGGAAGACATTCAGTAACGCTTTATGAAATCTGTATTGTAAATATCTATGGGGGTGTCGTTTTGGAGTCTCACATCTCTTCCTCTGATAAGCCTTCATCTGGTTGCGACTCAAAACCACGCAACTTACAGCTCATCGTTCTCTCACCTTCCGTCACGTTAATAACTGGAATCCACAAAAGGGCAAGAACACATTAACGGAATTCCCTATTTAAAACAGCAACAGCTAAAGCTTATTGAACACTTAAAATGTGCCAAAGATTGGGCTTCCCTGGTGGCGCAGTGGTTCAGAGTCCACCTGCCGATGCAGGGGATGCGGGTTCGTGCCCTGGTCCGGGAGGATCCCACATGCCGCAGAGCGGCTGGGCCCGTGGGCCATGGCCACTGAGCCTGCGCGTCTGGAGCCTGTGCTCCGCAACGGAAGAGGCCACAACAGTGAGAGGGCTGTGTACCGCAAAAAAAAAAAAAATGTGCCAAACATTGTTGTACATCATTTTCTTGGTTTGTCATTTAATCCTCGCAACAGTCCTATAAAGTTCATACCATGATCCCCATTTTACAGATGAAGAAACTGAGGCACAGACAAAGTCTTTTTCCCAAGGTCACACAGCTAATAAGAGGCTGGGTGGCCCCGGTGGTGGCCCAGGATTTAAATCCATGCAATCTGACCATGGGGTATCTGCACTTAACCACTACTCTCTACTGCAAGCTTTTTATAAATTTATTTATTTTATTTGTTTTATTTTTGGCCGTGTTGGGTCTTCGTTGCTGCGCGCGGGCTTTCTCTAGTTACGGTGAGCAAGGCCTACTCTTCGTTGCGGTGCACGGGCTTCTCATTGCCGTGGCTTCTCTTGCTGCAGAGCACGGGCTCTATGTGCACAGGCTTCAGTAGTTGTGGCGCACGGGCTTAGCTGCTCCGCGGCATGTGGGATCTTCCCAGACCAGGGCTCGAACCCGTGTCCCCTGAATTGGCAGGTGGATTCCTAACCACTGCACCACCAGGGAAGTCCTGCAAGTTTTTTTTTAAATGGATTTTTAAACACATTTGTTTGACTTTTGTTAAACAAATCATCACAGACTTACCTCCGGGGTAATTTTGGATATTGAGTCATGACAATCACGGGTCTCTTAAGGAAAGAGTTTTCAGAAATGTTAGATTATCATTTAGTTATGGCTGTAGGCAGGGCCATAACTAAACAACAGACACCTGGTAAAAAGCCTCCTGAGAACGAAATCCCACCACTTCCATTCATAGTTCATTTCAAAGTTTAATAGTCAGGAAATGACAACTAATTTAATTCCTTTATCTGCACGCTAAGCCCCATTCCTTGGGCTGATAAACCCCAATATTTCCATTTCTCTTATTCATTCACTCAACTATTGAGTAAACATTTACTAAGTGTGAACTATTAAAGAAACCTTTATTAAGTGTGTCGGGCCCAGTTCTATCACTGAACATGTGGAGAAAAAGCTCTCAGGTTCTGATAGGATCAATCAGGAAATTGGTCAAGTTTGTGTGCACAATGCGTCTGTTGGGGGAGGGGGAGATTTGCAGTGACAGGGTGGGGAGAGGAGAAACCCTCTTTTATGGAGGTGGGCACAGAGCTCCCCAGCAGCGCCCACTTGTGGGCTTAACATATAATGAACTATCTCAACACAAACTCACCCAGAGCAAACCCCCAGGAGATGGGGAGGGGGTTGGAAATGGGCCAGTTCCATGCCTGGAAAACCTACACTTTCCTTTTCCAGTGTCCTCAGTCTGTCCAGCACCACCAGCTTGCCATCTTCCCTGTGTAAACGCTTTCCAAGTACCGAAGGCTGTAATTAAGTGGACTCTCTTCTGCGAACACAGTAACTTCAGTGGCTGAATTAGAAATGCCCTAGTGTGATGCTACGGACCAGTGAAGGCTGCGGACTGGGAGACACAAGGTCTGGATGCTGGTTCTCGGCCACCGTGCTGCGGTCTGTTTTTACTGGGCACCTAAGGGCCCGGGATGCTGAGGAAGACGCAGTCCCCACCCTCAGGGAACTTACAGCCTAGCGGGGAGACACTGACAAGCACAAGCCGCTGTGCGGAGCGGCATCAGTTACGAGGCAGTTAAACTCCCGACGTTAAGGAAGAGCAAAGCAGGCTTTCATCCACTGCTACCCTCGCACCTCACTGAACCTAGACTTTGTTTACTAAAATTGAGATAATTCCTTCTTAATCTACTTTACGGTGCTGTAGGGACCTCAAAGGCCAAAGCTCGTAGAAAAGCATAAAGGGCAATTCAAAGTAGAGACTGTTGATTAGTTACGTAACGGTGCTAATCTGCACATTTAAAGGATGTTTCATTCAGCGGTGCTACAGGAGAGCGGAACAGAGGGCTAGAAGGCTTGCAAGTCGCTGGTACCCGCTCCGAAAAAAAGCAAAACAAAACAAACAAAAAAACAGGCTTGACCTAACGTGGAGGGGAATCCGGAGCAAACTCCAAAGTCAAATCCTCGGAAAGTGACAGGTTGGCCTGAGCACCCGCCGCCACTCGCCTCGTCCCCGGGGTCACTCTCCAGGCGCCCACACCACCCCCATCCCGGAAATCCCAGACCGCGGTCCTGACCGCCCGGACCGCGTCGCGGGCGCCTCCTGGCGGCCACCCGCGGCCACCCCCCGCTCGGGGCGCGGGAGCGGCTCTGGCGAACTAGGGAGAGAAGGGCCGTGGTCTTCTCGCGTGAACTAATGGCGTCATCGAAGCGACGGGCCCGGAAGGAAGTAGCGTGCGGAGAGGTGTGGCGGTTTCTGCGGTTGCACAGGGGTTCGGACGAGTACGGAGCGCCTGGAGGGACAGCCTGGTACGCGGCCCCCGCCCCTTAGCGTGCGCGCTTGGGCCTCGGTGAGGCTCCCGGCAGGAGCTGATCGACGGTTCCCCCCGGCCCCCAGCACAGCATCCTTTCTCCCTCGGGAGCGGGAAAGCAACCCGTTTCTGTCCCGTCCCTTCCCCGCGAGCCTCTAGGCGGGACGGAGCGGAGGCTCTTGGAGCCTCCAGACCCGAACCAGGGCTCCTGGGACTCGCGACCCTCTCTCAGAAGAGGGCAGGGAAGGAGCGCGAGGTGGGGCGGGGGTGACTTCGGGGAGGAAAGGGTTTTTGCACATAGGACGCAGCTGCAGATCGGTAGCTGGAGGCCGCACGGTGAAATAAGCGCCTCGCAGACGTCTGCGCCCGAGTTAAGTTAGACCCGGGAGGCAGAAATGCACGCGCTGGACGCGTGGGCCCAGGCGCGCCCGATTGGGAACCTCGCTGACAGTTACCGTAGTTTTTCCAGATCATTCAGTGTTCAGGAAATGAGTCTCTGGATGCCAACTCTTTCGCGTCCTGGTGCCTGAATACAGTTGAACCCAGGAGCCCCAGAGTCTACCCAGCCTGGGGAACCCCCTTTCCCCTCTAACCATGGGCTTGGGGAACCTGTCAGTTGCAAAGTGCTAGTCAAGCATATGGGAGGGAGTGTGGCTTCAGTGCTGCTTAGATACATATATTGTTTAGGGCCAAAGGAATAACGGGGAAGGTGGATGAAAGGCCAGAGGATCCCGCCATGGAACTCGGCTCGCATGCTGTCTGTGTCACTCCAGCCTCTGAAAGGAGTAAATAATGGTTTCCTTTGAAGTGGCAGACAATTAAGGACTGGGAGGCTCTGACCAGAATTACACAGCCACAACTGCCTGTCATCTGACATCCTCTGTAATTTGGGCCAACGTACTGCAGCTGCCTCGCTTCCCTTTTACTAATATGAGTGGCTCCGGTGACAGCCCGTTCGTGTTCACAGGAAGGGAAGGCTGTGTCCTGAACGCTGCCCAATTGGCACTGGTTCTCCCTTGGGCCACGGCTGTATCTGGAGCCAGTTAAGGAATGGTGGTGCCAAGTGAGAGCAAGGAGGAAGAGAGTTGTAGATCTAGCCTTGTGTTCATACTACTACAGGCTGGACGTGAGCCACTTTCTGGAGCTCAGCTTGGGGAGGTGCTCTCGCTGTCAGAGCTTTTCTCCCGCAAGTCAGAGCGCACACGTCTTGCTGTATCTTTTCCCCCAGGGTGAACGCTCACTGATGGCTCAGTTGGGAGCAGTTTTGGCTCTGGCTGCCAGTTTCTTGTGTGCATCTCTCTTCTCAGCTGTGCACAAGATAGAAGAGGGACATATTGGGGTGTATTACAGGTAAGGCAGCGACACGGCGTAGCTTGCAACTTCCTGTTCAATGACTGGCTTTCCTAGTCAATGTTTAACAGATTCTGCTGACCAATTGTGTTTATATTTTGTTGAATAGGAGTCTTTTAGATTGAGCTTTTGTGTCAGTGACCGTGGGGAGGGGAATACACACACACGTAAATACATATATAAATGTAAATATAAAACCTAGTAGTCTGATGCCATGGATGATAATCGATAAACGTGTAGAGAGATTTAGAGAGAAAACCTAAAGACAATCATGCTCCTTGAAGATCATCTCTGAAACATTGTTTTCTCCTACTTGCCTCTGGGCGTCTTGGTGCCACAAGCTTACCTCTGACGAGTACCGGTTCTTGATGGCAACCTGAGGAGATGTAATGTGGACCTCCTCTTTAAAATTAACATTTCAGGAAGAATGGAAGAGCCTGCAGGTTGACTTGTATCCATCAAGGCAAGCTCTAGGATAGTGGTTCTTACAATAACCCATTATGTCACTTTATTTTTATTGCTCTTTTTAAAAAAAAAAACGTATCTGTGACTTAATATAAAGCAAAAAAGCATTTAATATAAATCTTGGGTTGCTTTCCTTTGAGTAACCTCCATAACCAAGTTATGTGCTTTAAGTCTTTATGAGCCCCTTCTTATATGTACCCCGTAATGCTTTTTCTCTGGATGCCAGTAGCGAGTTCTAGAAGTCTGATTGGGTTCCCCTCTCCCTTTAATTACTTCTTCCCACCATCTGTTTCTATGTCCCCCAAAATGGCTTTTAATTTTATTACCATTTACATATAACTTGATTAGAAAAGTAACTGTACTGCCAAAAAAATATTTAGATGGTTTATCAAGTGTACTTAAAATTATCCTTTTGGTTCTTTGTGTCACTGGACTCCAACACTAGTACCATTAATTGGTCACTATATTCCCGGATTTAACTGCCCTTGTGGATCGCCACAAGCCCAACAGATACGACAAAACAGCTCTCCTCTCTTATCTCAAGTATAGCCAAGGATTCTGCTGTCTTTATTCCACTTTGTCTGTGTGCCCGTTTTTCTCACTGCAAAAGCATGAATAGCGGTTTTAGGTTTTAGCATCAGGCTTCCTAGAATATTAGGGTCAAGCTGAGAGGAAGACAGGGATCTGTGGGCATGGCTCTGGCACATGTCACTCTATATTAAATGTTTATGGGGCTGCAGAGAAAGTGGGCCCAAACAGTATTGATGTAACAGACACCCCTTTGCTAAACCAAGCCTGCCTCTCTCTCCCTTCTCTGCAGAGGCGGTGCCCTGCTGACTTCCACCAGCGGCCCTGGCTTCCATCTCATGCTCCCATTCATCACATCCTATAAGTCTGTGCAGGTATACTCGGCTTGTGGGGCAGGGTTGGACGACTGCAGACTTGGGTGGTGATTAGTGCATGACTTGGAATGATTTAGCCATTGGATGAGTGGATGAGTATAATGCCTTTTCAAGGAATCACTTAAGAATAAGTCCTATATATAATATAAAGTATGAGGCTCCATGAGCCACTTACTTCTGGAGTTTTACTTGATTGTTGAAATAGCTGAACGGGGTCATTGCCTTGGCCCGTCATTCCCAGCTGGGAACTATGGCTTCACTTCAAGACAAAACCAGAGAAGAATCTGTTCTGAATACGCAGAAGGAAAAATAGGATGTTTGTGCATCTGTATGTTTTAAACCACAGGCTACCAAGATAGATGGAAATAAAACATGGTAATTTTGCTGGTTCTTTTTTGAATTTCAGAGATGTGAACATAATTGGGGGGGGTGAACTTGGAGAAGGGAAATGACATCTAAAATAGGTGTAGGATTAGTTATGACGGACCCAAAGCCAGGCTACGTTAGACTAGTCATCTCTGAAGTATGTCCAGCTAAGAGGAATAAGAAGATTCAGAGAATGACTTTTAAACTAACCCAGGAAAATATCCTGGGTTACCTCATCGGCATCTGCCCTGTAGGTTTCTTCTGCCATTCACTGTGCTTGATGGTTTTCAAAGTGCATTCCGTGCACATTATCTCATTTGAGTCTCACAGTAATCCTGAGAATGGGCCGAGCAGGTTTTAGAGGCTATGAGGTTAAATAAAGAATCTGCTGCTTCAAGACTAGTGAATGGAAGAAACGGAAGTAAACATGGGTCTTAGGACCCCTAATCCAGGGTCTTTTTCACTAAACCATCATCGCTCAGCTTGTTCATGTGGTGGTTCATTTACAGGGAAGCAGGGTGGGTACCTTTGCTTGGTTTACTCTCACACTCTGTAAGTGAGGAGCATTCATTGGGGTATTCACATTTCACAGAGGCCAAGTTTAACCCAAATAAGTATTCAAGGCAAAGGCTGTTTAGGTTTCCCAAAAGAACTCACTTTGTTTGTCACTGCTCACCTTACAGCATCTTATGTCTCCCCTAATTCCAGACCACACTCCAGACAGATGAGGTGAAGAACGTACCTTGTGGGACAAGGTAAGGTGCCCAGAATAAAGCTGTGAAGCCCAAATAAGAGGCAAGGCCATCTGGCTGGCTACAGTAAGAGACAGTGAAAAGGGATGTACCACTTGGTGGTTTCACCAAGTTCTCTGGCCCCAAGCTCCCTATGTTCTGAGTTGAGTAGGTGGTGGAGTGCAGTAGAGAAAATCACAGAAGGGAGACAAGTTTGGAAGGGCCTTGAATGCCATGATAAAGGCCTTTAGCACACAAATAACTTGCTAGAGGAAGATAACTTTAGCAGAACTAGCTATGGAGAATGTTGGAAAGGTGGTAGGGGGAGAACTCAGGGGCCGGAAATTCAAAGAGAAAACCAATATGGTGGTCCGGTTGAAAAGTCGGGAAGGTCTGAACAGGGACAGAGTAACAAAGTAAACCACACCATAAGGAAACACTCGGACAAACACAGAATCGGAACATCCCACAGAATGACTGGCCCTATTTCATCACAAAGTCATTGTATTTGGAGGGGCCTTGGGTCAAAAAGGAGACGTAAAGATATAAGCAAATGTAATGGTGAACCTTGCTTAGAACTTGGTTCCAAAATGACAGCTATTAAAGACGTTACAGAAACTGCGTTAGTCATTCTGGGCTGCCATAACAGAATGCCGCAGACTGGGTGGCTTAAACAACAGACACTTATTTTCTCATGGTTCTAGAAGCTCAAAGTCCAAGGTCAAGGTGGCAGCAAGGTTGGTTCCTGGCCTGCAAGTGGCTGCTTTGCTGTGTCCTCACGTGGCCTTTCCTCTATGCACGTGTGGAGAGAAAGATCTCTGGTGTCTTTTTCTTCTTTCCTTTACCAGTCCAGTCAGATCAGGGCCCCACCATTATAACCTCATTTAACCTTAATTACCCGTGTAAAGGCCCTGCTTCCAAATAGTGTCGCATTGGGGATTAGAGTTTCAGCATATGGATTTTGGAGAGCACACAATTCAGTCCATGACAGGAACTTCTGGGGAAATTTGGAGAAAGACTGGGTATTAGATGGTAAGGAATTATTGCTAATTTCCTTAGGTTTGGGAATGGTATTGTGACTCTGTAGGAAACTGTCATTACTCTTAGGTGATTGATGCTTGACAGGTGTTAAGGGCTAAGGTATCCTGACCGCAGCTTGCTTTGAAATGTTCAGCAAAAAAAAAAAAAGTAGATCAATCAATAGGTAAAGTGTTAACAATTGTTAAATTTAGGTGTTGATATATGAGTGTTAGTTGTACTATTCTTTCAGCTTTTCTGTATGTTTGAAATTGTTTTCTAATTAATGTCGGGGCGGGGAGGGCTGAACTAAAGTGATGGTGAAAACAAAGTGAGAAACAGTGACCATAAAACCCCACATTTTTAAGTTCTGAGAACTGCGTTACCTTCTTTAGTCTCTTCCTTTCGATTGATTGCTTTAATCAAAAGGCACTGCAGATTAAAAGGAGATGAACTACTCTTGTCTTACCGCCAAAGTTTCGTTTTTTCTTCGCGGAGGTATTTTTAGGAGGTGTGATTTCTCACGAGATTGCGTTCTCGCTAGCAGCTCGGAAGGACTCCTGCCTGGAGAGCCTCCTGCCTCTGACCTCTCACCGCACCCCCCCACCCCACCCCCCGTGAACTCTCCTCTTTTCCTGTCAAGTCACACACCTCCCGCCACCCCCTAGGAGAGGCACCATATTCCAGAGCTTAGCCTTGACTGCTGTGTCCGTCCCTCTTCCGACAGCGGTGGCGTGATGATCTACTTCGACAGAATCGAGGTGGTGAACTTCCTGGTCCCACACGCAGGTGTGTGCTTGCCGTGCCCCTCCCCCAGCCCAGCCCCTCCCCTGCAGCCCACTCCCCCCGCCCCCCCACCGGCCCCACGCCTGCCCCGTGTCTGCAGCAGCGCCCCGGGAAGGGACAGCCGCTGTGTCCGGGGATGTGGTGAGTCCCGCCCGTCCTCATCCTGAATCTCTCCTTCCTCCCAGTGTATGATATAGTGAAGAACTACACTGCCGACTACGACAAGGCGCTCATCTTCAACAAGATCCACCACGAGCTGAACCAGTTCTGCAGTGTCCACACGCTTCAGGAGGTCTACATCGAGCTCTTCGGTAAGAAAGCCTCTGGGGATGATCACCTGCTCAAGCAGCCCTGCTTCCCCGCTGCCTACTTCTGAGCTGCCCACAGGGCGGGATGGGTACCAAAGGCCCGGCAGTGTTGAAGATCCAGTGCCCGGGAAGCGGGCGGTCACACAGGGCACTCCTGGGAAATGCTGATGCCGGTGGAAGAAGCTCGTGAGAGTGGTTGAGCGTTGGGCACAGGAGTAATAGTGGATGAGAGGACTCGCTCCTGCGCTGAATCAGAGGCCTGGGATGGAAGTGTGTTCCCACTGTCCCTAAGCATCGTTTTGTAGTGAAGAGGGGTCAGTTCTAGAAGAACCTTAGAGATTACCCAGCATCCTCCTTTCAAGATAAGGGTACTAAGGCCCAAAGGGAGAAAGTGCCAGAGCTGGCTAGTAGCAGAGCCAAAGCTCAGACCTCCCTCCCCTGGCTTCTGGCTTCATCCATGCCACCCTGGATGAAGGGCACCGGGACCAAGTGATGAAAACAGCAAGGGCCACGTTTAGTTCTAGAAGTGGGACAAGGACCACAGCTACTTACAGTTCCTAGAACCTCTGTGGGTTTGGGTTGTTGTTTTTACCCTATACCTGCAGAGAGGAATAGGGAAACGCTTAGAACAGAAAGGACCCACGTGGGACTTCCCTGGTGGCGCAGTGGTTAAGAATCCGCCTGCCAATGCAGGGGACACGGGTTTGAGCCCTGGGCCGGGAAGATCCCATATGCCGCAGAGCAACTAAGCCCGTGCTCCACAACTACTGAGCCTGCGCTCTAGAGCCCGCGAGCCACAACTCCTGAGCCCACGTACCACAGCTACATCGCAACTACTGAAGCCCGCGCGCCCAGAGCCCGTCCTCTGCAACAAGAGAAGCCACTGCAATGAGAAGCCCGCGCACCACAACAAAGAGTAGCCCCCGGGCTTCCCTGGTGGTGCAGTGGTTGAGAGTCCACCTGCCAATGCAGGGGACACGAGTTCGTGCCCCGGTCCGGGAAGATCCCACATGCCGCGGAGTGGCTGGGCCCGTGAGCCATGGCTGCTGAGCCTGTGCGTCCGGAGCCTGTGCTCCGCAACGGGAGAGGCCACAACAGTGAGAGGCCCGTGTATTGCAAAAAAAAAAAAAAAAAAACGAGTAGCCCCCGCTCACCGCAACTAGAGAAAGCCCACGCGCAGCAACGAAGACCCAACACAGCCAAAAATAAAATAAATAAATGTATTAAAAAAATAAAAGCAAATGAACTTTGCAATCAGTGGTAACAGCTATTCTTGACATCAGAACTGGACAGTGATTTTTCCCAGGAATCTTCATTAAAAGGACCCTGAGTGAGAACATTCTGTAGAGTAGACAGAGGCGGAATCATTGGCGGCGCCAGTGGTCTTAATTAAGCAAACAGCCTTTTGCACTGTGTTTCAGATTTGGGAAATCATCAGAAGCACTTTTGACTTTTCTGCAGAAGAAAATGAATCTAAATTCACTTTATAGGCTTTGGATTCTCTTGTGGGGTTTGGATTCAGTGTGCTGTTTAAGAACAGTTCAGTAAATCTGCTGTTGATTTTTTTTAACCTCAAACTGATATAATTTCATAAAATATCTTAGTTTTCTCTCTAGCCATTGTTTTAGAACTTGTGCCATTAAATGAACGTTCCAAAGCATTTGAAACAACAAAAGACAGAAGAGCTCTAATTTCCGTGTAGAGGGAATTAAAATGTGAAATTATTCTGCATTAGAGAACTTCTCACTATCTTGCAGATGAACTTGGCGTCCTAGTAAAGTAAAACTTCTTGTACAGAGGAGCTAGGGAAGTGTGTTTGCTTTGAAATATCTTTTAACATCATTCTTGCCAGCAAGCACTGTTTTGTTTAGAATCCATTTGCATCTGCAAAGGAGAAACTCAAATCTCTAATCCTGTTCCTTGAAGTTGGAAAGTTTTTCTCTGGTCCCCTCCTCTCAGGACGCATAGCCCTGACTTTCAGCTTGACTGCAGTTCTTATCACTGCTTGCTCTGATGCATCCTCTTTGCCTGTTTTATTAAAATGTTATCCAGTACTTGTTCAGAAGTTTGTCTGAAGACCTTCTTTGTGTTCACGTAATAACATAACTTAATCTGCATCTGTCAGCATAACCATCGCCTATAAACAACTTAGTACTGGTGTTACTTTGGTAGTAAACCACCATGCAAAACATTTCTTCCAGATTTTCCTAGAAAATTACTAGCCCAGGGTCACAATTTTCTGCCTTGACTCAGACAGAATTTAATCTGATAAACAACTGTGTTGTTAACTTATGGAGGGTATAGGGCATATCCCTTAAAGTTTGGTCGGTCTCCTATTTAAAATAGAAAATGTGGAATGTAATGTTTATCTCTAGCCATCAAATTGTTAGACCCATGTCAGGTGGGAGGTGCTGCCCTTATGGGCATTTCTCTCTCAGTGCTGAGAGGCTGCTGGGAACGTATCTGATATGTAGAAGTATTAAAACCCCTTGCTTAGCGATATGACAGTTGAAGAAAGTACTGTTCTCAACCCTAACAACCAAAGCATAATAATTAAACAAGTTCTTTATTTTGGGTCCTGACTAGCTTGAGCACATCACTGAACCTCTGTGGGCCTCAGTTTGAGCATCTATAACAGGCAAGGAGTTAGACTTACTGTTCCTCAAAGGCTCCTGGATCACGAATGGCCACTTAAAGCAGATGGCAGCTGACAGTAGGGAGATGGTTCTGTGAAGATGTCCCAGCCTGGTTTCGTGGGTCCTTTTCTCAGTGCTCTTCCAGGATCTTACTGAGGATCTCATGGGCGGGGGGCAGAGAAGGGAAGGCCCAGGTCAGAGCAGGCAGCCTGGGCGCCGCTGTTCTAGGGTCACAGCTAGAGGGACAGTCGGTTACAGCTCTTCCAACCCTTGTCCGTGAAGTGACTCACGTGTCATGTTTCAGACAGAGAATCAGGACCAAAGCAAACAGCACATCAGACCACTTGGGCTCGTTTCCAGAGCTGTAAATTGTCATTCTTCTCCTTGTGTTATTTGATGGAGTTCCTAATGGAATTAGTCTTCCTTGGGGCTTTCCTTGACATCAGAGTCTGTTTTTCTTTTAGAAACCTCTAAAATTACTAGATTTAATGTGCTTGGCTTTTTCAAAATACCTAACTTGGCCATTCCACCTTCCTTCTTCGTGAAAGCCAGGCGGCCACCTTCTGTTGCTGCTGTTTCTAGGGAAAGGCTGCTGCCTGACTCAAAAAATGTGCTCGAGTTGTTTGTCCTTTTAAAGCTTAGTTCCCTTCTGGGCGAGGCTGATATCTTCTTGAGGCCCCAGGGAAAGGACACGCTCACGTCTGGCTCACATAGAGGACCGAGTGGGCCTCCCGCTGTGAGAGTCTTGCAGGGCGTCTTTAGACATCCGAGCTCTGATGAGCACTCTGCCTCGGGAAGACCTTTTGCCTGTCAGGTGCATTCATGAGCCGGTGTCTTGCCTTGCACTCTACCACCATACTTCCCTCCTCCCTGCCTGAAAAGTGTAACAGCTCCTTTATCTATCTCTCTTGATTCCAGATCAGATTGATGAAAATCTCAAACTGGCTTTGCAACAGGACCTGACCTCCATGGCCCCCGGGCTCGTCATCCAAGTAAGCACCGCCCTGGTGGGAGCCCTGCCATCGCCCCCCGACCCCCGAGGAAGGTGCATCCCCTCTTCCAGAGGATGTCCTGTCTGTGCAGGAAGATCAAGGACCGGTGGGAGCTGGTCCCTCAGCCCCTCACCTCCCCATCAGGTGCTGTTTTTATCCCTCTCCAGGCTGTGCGGGTGACAAAGCCCAACATACCTGAAGCCATCCGCAGGAACTACGAGCTGATGTGAGTGTGCCCGGTGCCCCAGCTGTAACCACCGCTCTCCCCTGCCTCCCGTTCATCCCATCCCGGGGTTGATCGACGCCGGGCCAGGCATCCCCTCTTGAGTATTTGTTACAGCGCACCACCCTGGAAGATGGGGCAGGCATGTCAGGACGCTCACCTGGGCTCCGCAATGACAGAGCAGGGATGCTCTTCAGAGGGCCGGGGCGGGGGCGGGGGGAGGCGTGTGGCATTTCACGGCTCGTGCTGAAGAAGACGGGGAGCGGCTATTGCGTGGGCAGGCAGGTGCCTTTTACTGAAGTCAGTTATGCTTTATTTCCTACCAATGAGTTTTGGAGGAGAAGGCAAGCCATGTTACTGCCTGCAGCAGAGCCGCTTCCACCTGGGACATTAAAGAGCCTGCCAGGAGAGAGGAAGGAATGACAGCTTGCGTCCCCCGGGGCGGGGGCAGCTTGTCTTCTCCAGGGCACAGTGAATCTCCGCAGAAGCTGGTCCCCAGCGGCCTCACAGCTGTGCATTTTTCTCCCCTTCAGGGAAAGCGAGAAGACGAAGCTTCTGATTGCAGCCCAGAAGCAAAAGGTGGTGGAGAAGGAAGCCGAGACAGAGCGGAAGAAGGCCCTCATTGGTCTGACTGTGCTTGTGGGGTCCCCTTTCAGAGCAGACAGGCTGGGGAGGGTGGAGAGATTCAGGAAGCCTGGGGCTCGGTCCTCCGAAGCCCTGCCACACGCGGGGTCGGCCTGCATCCCCCGGAAACAGAGCTGAAATTGTCAGATCACAGCCAGGGATCATGAGTTCTGAGTTTCCACACATCTCTTAAATGAAAAGAGCCCTTCCAGTTAATTCCTCATTCACAATAATAATAACACTGATTGGGCCCTTACTATGAGCCGTGGGCTTTTCTAAACGCCTACGGGTGAATCATCTCGCTCCTCACACACCCACCCCTGCTGGGTGAGGAAGGCAGCATCCTTAACCTCCTCTCACTGAGCTGAAGCACACGGAGGCTAGATTGCTGCCCACGGTCACATGGCAGAGAAGTGTTGGAAACGGGGTTCAAATCCAGGGACTCTGCCCCTGAACCCGGCTTCTTTACCACTGCACCAGACAACCAGCCACAGCCCTGGCCACTTCCTAAAGTGCAGTGGCAGGAGGAAACCTGTACCTCAACCCTTAAAACATTCCTTTGGGAGAAATACCCCGTGAATTGGGAGAGGGAGCCTGCCATGGCTGCCTCTGGGCCAGTGGCCCTTCACCCGAGCCCACCCGCTGCCCTGCATCAGGGCCTCAGATCAGGTGAAAGGTGCAGTGCAGTCAAACTCTGGAAATATCGGGACTCTAAGCCTTTCTCAACTTCATTAATACAGAGGCAGAGAAAGTGGCTCAGGTGGCAGAAATCACCTATGGGCAGAAGGTGATGGAGAAGGAGACGGAGAAGAGGATTTCGGAAATCGAAGGTGGGCGAGAGATTCCCGCCCGCCTTTTCCTCAAGCCCCGGGGGGGGGGGGGGGGGGGGGGGGGAGAGTCATTTCCTCTGCTCTGTAATCTCTGTGCTCAGATGTTATGGTTTCTTTGGAACATCCCTTGTTCTCTGTGCTCTGACTTGAGTTTTGGGGAGATTCGGTCCAGGCTGGCATTAATTTTCCACTTCAGAGAGATTCAGTCATTCATCAGATTTTAGTTGGGTGCCATCAGGACTCTTCTGCCAGGCTTAAGAAAAAGGGAGATCACGTGGTCCCTGCTGTGTTGGGCTCACAGTCTGGCATTGGAAGTAAACCAAGAAGCTAGGTCCAGACAGCAGCTCTCTCCCCCCTGCCTTACCCGCCCCCCTCCTCAGAAGCCCGTGAACACCATCGTTTTGGCCTCTCAGGGTCCCTGTGGATGTTAAGCTGGGTGTGAAGAAAACACCTTTCAATACCGACACCACGAGCTGGAGAGAGGTGTTGTCTTTGCCAGCTTCTCTGAATCTCACTCACCTTCAGTCCCTTGCACCTCAGCTCTCACCTCATTCCCACCACCCACCTTCTCCTCCATGTGGTGCCTTTATATCAAGCAAATTCTAGGCCAAAAACAAGACCTCAGGGCCCAGCTTCAGGCTGCACAGTGCTGTGTCCAGTAGTACTCACGATGGGGCCTTTCGGGCTTTGCAGGTGCCCGTGGAGGAGCCAGTTAGGCCTTTACGGATCAGCGGCTCCTCACTGGGGAGCTCTTAGCCGAACAGCACATTTTTATTATAAACGCAGGTCACCAGGCGCTAAGGCCAGTCAAGTTGGCCGCATGCACCCCAGCCAGCCTGCAGGCTTCCACCACCCAGGGCCTTGCTGAGGCTGTGCAGTAAGAACCCACCGCCAGTCCTCGCTTGCTTCCCAGGCTTTTGCTACAGCTGTTGCTCATGCAAGGCTGGCCTCATTCCCAAGGCCAGGGAGTAAATATCAAAAATTTTGCATCAGCTTGACCGAAAGCTGGTCTGAGCAGATTAAGGAAGCAGATTGCAAAGTAGAAGTTTAAATGTGTCTTAGTCCAAACAGGTGTTAGTCTAGACCATGGCATGTCATGCCCTTCAAGTTGTGCCAGCTTAAGCGCTGCTAATTGGAGCCTTTCTGAAATGATTGGTGGAAATGAAAAGGAAGCTGAAGTTGGAGAGGGGCTGAACTGTTTTGTTTATGGTAGTCCATTTCAGGGCAGATCCACCTCGGGCCGTATCCAGAGCCTTCTTCGGGCTTCCCTTGGTCTTGCTGTGTACTAGGAGGGGAGAGCGCTGGGGTGGAGAGCTTGGAGACAGGAGGCTGAGGCGGGTCCCGTCCCTCTCCTCACAGGCCACAGAAGGAGTAAGCGGCTAGAAAGAGGATGTGTCTCCACGATGCTGTCAGAAAAGACACTGTCGGGCACAGCGGCAGACTTACTCAGAGTTAGCTAGGCCCCACCACCGGGAGATGCTGTCAGAGCACTCTTCCATCTTGGTCGATTTTCACAACCACTTGTGAAACAGGAGGAAAATGCCTTTTCCCCAGTTTCATAAATGAGGAAATCAGAGCACAGAGAAGCCAGAGCACTGTGCCCAGGGTCACGGAGGCAGTCGGGGAAAGTGGCGGGGACTAGCTTCTGCCCTTCACTTCACTGCGTTCTTCTCTTAAGATGCTGCGTTTCTGGCCCGGGAGAAGGCCAAGGCGGACGCCGAGTGCTACACTGCCATGAAAATAGCCGAAGCAAACAAGGTAAAGGCCCAGCGCCGCCCGGCCGCCAGAGGGCGTGTGCCCGGCTTGAGAGTAGCCGGGTGGTTGTAAGAACACGGCGCCTGCCCCAGCCCCTCGTGGTCGCGAGCGAGGACTTCTGGGCCGTGTGGGCCAGCGCCTTCCCTTTCCCTTAGCTGGACCCTGAGAGAAGTTTGATTTTGCTGGTAAACAGAGAAACCCCTGAAACTCTCGCAGTTCTCACCTTGAGGGCCTGAGATTACTGTCTCCCAGAGAAGGGGTTTCGCGGTTGCTAACGCAGCATTGAGACCTAACCTGGCCCCATCAGAGTCGGCCTTCCTCGCTTTCCTTCCAGCTGAAGCTGACCCCCGAGTATTTGCAGCTGATGAAGTACAAGGCCATCGCTTCCAGCAGCAAGATTTACTTCGGCAAAGACATCCCTGACATGTTCGTGGACTCTGCGGGCAGCCTGGGCAAGCACTTGGAGGCGCTAGCTGACAAGCCGAGCTTTGACTTAGAAGAGGAGCCCTCGGAGGCAGACGCGGAGGAGAACTGAATGTTTCTGTCCCCAGCCGCACATGACCCTCAAAGAGATCTTTATTTTTTAATGATGAACCAGCCCTCCCTTCCACACTACCTTCTTTGACTCTCTTCCACGTACTGTGGTGAAAAAAGAAGAAACGGACTTAAACCTATTCCCCTTCCTGGGAAGCGGGGGTAGGGACTGATGAATTGGGGTTTTCTTCAGGTAAGTAGGTTACGTGGCTTCTGTTAAGATTTGGAAACCATGGGCTAGACCTTTGAGCTCCAGGCACTGATTTTCGCCCTTTTGAAGCTGGCTTAATTAGGGATGCTATTAATAAGGAGTGGGAGAAATGCAGGGTGTCGCCTCCGATCGGACTGCCCTTATTTGGGGAAAGGCAGTCCAGTGTTCTCAACCTGCCTCCAAGGTGGGAGATGCCCGTGGGTGAGGCCCAGCTACCGAGCAAGTACGTGCTTGTAAGTTTGCCAGCAGAGCTGTGGAGAAACGGCTGCGGTGGATGTTGGCTTTCCCGGCGCTCCTGGCCGTGAGCCCGTGGGTTACTGCCGAGGCCCGCTCTCTGGAGCCCTGGTAAGGAAGAGCTGGTGCTATAGGTTCTGCAGGCTTTTCTACACACCACCCTCCTTGCCCCAGGGCTGAAAGCGTGGTGGCTTCCGACCACATTTCCAGGGTCAGGGTTTGGCCCCCACCACACAATTCTTTTTAAAACTCTTCACCTATTCTGTGATTTGGTTTTTTTCTCCTCTTAACCTGTTCGTTGGTTCCACTCAGCATCAAGAAGACAGGAATGAAGAACTCAGGTGTCTTCAAAGCTGCTGAAGTGGGACCGTGCTATCTGTTAGCCACTGTGGTACCTGCTTGGCAAACTGTGCGCGTTCCTTGAGATCAAGTGTCTTTTCATTGCTGTGGGGATCCTACGGTTGAAGACCTCCTCTGGGGGAGGAAGAAGGGCTCGTCCAAAAGATTCCCCAATCTCAGTGCCTGTGACTTGTGCTGGGGTCTGTCTGATGTAGTGATAAGGGGGAGCCCGTTCGCTAAGCGGCCGGAGTCTTTAAATCCAGGGCTCCAGGGGTCACACCGAGTGTTAAATCTCCAGAGACAGCTGTGTGGGTACGAGTTCATGCCCTAGTCCCTGGGTCAGAAGGACTGCATCAGAATCCACTCAAATGTTTTTTCATTACTAATTGGGAGATTTGGGTGGGGGGAACACAAAGATGAAAAAAAGGTTTTCTTGTGTCCTGAAGTTGGAGTTGGGGGCAGGAGTGTGTACCAGGTCGCTAAGTGGAGGGCAGCTGTCTGGAGTGAACTTGCAAGCCTGTTGGTATCGTCCACGACAAGCCCTGGCTGAGGATTTGTTATTAGCTGCCCCCCTCCAAGAAGAACTCCCACTGTACCCCTCTTTTCTCGGTGAAACTACAAATGATACTTTCTGGCACAGATTTCCATCTCATTTTTGATCCCACACCCAGACTTCTGATTAATCGAATGGCCCCAAAAGTCGGGCTACCTTGCTTCTAAGTAGCACCAGGCTCTTCGGGAGTTGGGGGAGCATTCAGCCGGCCTAGGAATACACAAAGGGTTAATCCCTCTTAATTTAAATGTTGCCCTTCTCTGTTCTAATTTGTGGGACTTAGAATTCTCAAACCTCCATTCCCGGTCACACTTTGTGCAGGCAGCCAAATGTTCCTGGGAGTGATGGATTTTAACGTGCTCAGAAGGCCTTGCAGAAGGCAGTTAGTCTAAGACCAACATAAGGTATCCATCATTAAGATACACTCACCCTCCTCCCACTTCAGTGCCATTAATCACTTGTTAGGAGTACCATGTCACATCCAGCATCCCTGATTTACATATTTGTCGGCTCCTCTGCTCTGAGACCGGCTGCCTAAGCCTCAGAAAACACTACTTCTCTCCAGTGGAATGCGCAGCAAGGACATCTCAGCCTCTCTGAATAGCAGGCTTGCTCAGATTCCTAACCGGAACTTCTCTCTAATACTAGCATCCTGTGATGGCTTGTCCCTTGCTAGAGCACAAAGGAGCCTCGGTGACGTCCTGCTACACCTGCCCCCCTTCAATGTCAATGTCACTTCTTCTTTAAGCAAAAAATGTAACTGTTGTAGTACCCATTCGTTTAACTCCAATGTTGTCTGTACCTGCCTGAATAGGAAAATCATGGAAATGGGCTGTTTTCTTAGCTTGGGACAACTAACCAGTCTGTCTGTGTGACTTCGTTTCTGTAACACTTACTAGAAAACCTGATCTGAAAACATTTGAATTCTAAACATGTAAACTGTGACAGCCTGCAGTTTTGCAGGCAGTAAAGTCATGGCTGCTATTGATAAATGGACCCTCTATCAAAATAAGGAACTGTTTATAAAAGTCAGTTTTTGTAGGACTTTCCAAGGAAAAATCACCTTGGTTGAATGTTTCTCACTCATTAAACTTTGCAGAAGTGATCTATATTCAGTACTGTTTTTAATCACTTTTTTTAATATCAGGACAGAATATTTGAAAGGAAGCCACAGTTTGTTAATTTTTATATGACTAAAATAAATTTGGAGGGATCTGCGATCATATTAAGTTGAGAGAGGGAAAAAAATCACTGAAAGAATTTTAGCAATATAGTCATCCCTCGGCATCTGCAGGGGACTGGTTCCAGGACACTCCCCCCGACCCCATACCAAAATCCGTGGATGCTCAAGTCCCTTATATAAAATGGCCTAGTATAGCTGCCTCTGTATCCGCGGGTTCCACATCCACAGATACAAAGGGCCGACTATATTGATCCGAAAAAAGTAGATGTTTTATAAATGATCTGTTGCAGTTTCTATGAGTCTCTATCTTTCAACACAGATAACTCCACCATTTATAAACAGTGAAAGTAAGAGCTTCATATTTACTGACTACCTATTTAAGTTTGATCGAGGATAAGTTGTATCCTGACTAGGGGTCACTCTGCCTCTATGGACTTAACCACTGCTTCTTTAGTTCTATTCAGTAGGGTTCTAGCCACTATTTCTGGTGTTTCCTTTTAAAAGAGGTAATAGCCAATCATTTTGTGTTTGTATTTCCATTCCTCTCTATTTCTGCTTTTGTGCAAGCTGGTGATTGAACAGTCAAAACTAATTCTACTTGCAAAGAGCCCCGAGGACTGAATGACCCCCTTTGAAACTGAGAAATGAGTGTTGTTATATTAGTCACTCCACAAATGATATGCTGGATCAGTTGCCTTGGGCTGATAGATGGAAGAACTGTTTTAGACAACTCTAAAGGTGTGATTTGATGTCTTAGCTTTATTTTCAGTCTTGCTAAATAAAATGAGTCTTTGTATTTTTTTATTACAGTGAAATTTAGCAATAGCTAATATTAGATTAGGTGATATAAAGAGATAAAACATTTCTGCCTAGTGAGTTAAGTCGAGCCCCAAAAATATATTCAGATGAATATCTATTCCCATTATCGATGTAGAAATAATAAACAGCTTATTTGTGAAAATGGCATAACTCTTGGTAGGTGCTACGGAGATTTATCGTAAAATACTCCATACACTGCTGCAATTCTGCTCCAAAAGAGCAGAGGTACTTTCTGCTGACCCAAAATATATTTTGATATCAATTCGGTAAGAAAGTCGCAGTCTCTGTCTGGGAAATATGCCCAGCCTAGAGTTGCCGAATAAAATACAGGATGCCCAGTTAAATGTGATTTTCATATAAATAACGAATAATTTTTAGTATAAGTATGTCCCAAATATTGCATGAGACATACTAAAAAAGTATTCGTTGTTTATATGAAATTCACATTTAACTGAGCATCCTGAACAGTTGTCCCTTGAGCAACACGGGTCCACTTTTACACGGATTTTTTTCAATAAACACATACTACAGGACTATTCAATCTGCGGTTGGTTGCCTTCGCAGGTGCAGAACCACAGATAACGAGGGCCTGCTATAAAGTTGTAGGCAGATTTTCGTCGATGCCAGCCGGGGTCAGTGCCTCTAACACCTGCATTGTTCAAGGATCAACTGTATTTTTATTTGCTAAGTCTGGCAACCCTAGCCCATGCTTTCTCAGGTTTTTCAATGGTGCTCCCAAACTTTCTCTGTTGGTTGGAGAGCCCAACACAAATACTATGGATTTACAATTGAATAGGTAAATTAAGAATGTAGTTTCTAGGGTTAGACTGCCAAGATCCAAATCCCTTCTCTACCACTTCTTAGATGTATGGTCTTGAATAAATTCTTTAACCTGTCTGAGCCTCAGTTTCTTCATCTATAAAATGGGTTGAGTGGATGAAATGAAAACGCATTGTGAAATGAAACGCATGTGAAGGGGTTAGCACGGTGCATAAGTGTTCAAAAATAACTTATTTTCAGTCATCTGGAAAAACAGGCTAGAAAACACACAGGTAACTAAGTGGGGAATCAAACAGATGTGATAACATGGAATAAGATTACAGGTAAGATAGCACATAGAGGAAGAAAGGAACAACACTGCAATTCAGCAAACGCAGTATTGAGAATTCGTACTTCCAGCAATGCAGTAGACAGGTAGAAAATTAGCCAGTTTGGCCCTGTTGAAATTAATTGCCCACTTCTGGGCTCCAATTAAAATAAAAAGAAGACTTGTAGAGGCTAGAAAGAAAAAATGTTAAAACCGAAAGAAAAAAAGTAGTTAAAAGCTAAATCTCATGGGTTGACCCCAGAAAAGGCAGAAGGGGAGTTTAGCAACTTCACTTTTATAAAACTTGCATGATTGTACAACACAGGGAATATAGCGAATATTTTAAAATAGCCATAAATGGAGCATAACCTTTAAAAACTGTGAATCACTATATTGTGCACCTGTAACGTATAATATTGTCCATCAACTATACTTCAATTTTTTAAAAAAGTTGTGGGGTTTGCCTGGTGGTCCAGTGGTTAAGACTCCACACTTCCACTGCAGCGGGCACGGGTTCGATCCCTGGTCAGGGAACCAAGATCCCGCCCACCTCATGGCACAGCCAAAAAAAAAAAAGGTTGCATCATGGCCAGCTAGATAGTCTAGCTCCTCAGAGACCAAAGAAGAGGAAATGGGCTCGCAGAATAGAGCAGTTTGAAAGATTTTACTTTAAGACTGGCTAAAATTTGAAATAGGGAGAAGTGGTTATCTGCAAATAGAAAATAAATCCAGGGATTATCACAGATAACATTTTCTTCTCTGATGGTCTTGGGGAGATTCTGTGCTGTTTGGGATGGTTTAAATGTCATCCTCTCTATATGAAGTATCGAATGATCTCTAAAGGTCCTCACCAGGTCTAGGGTTCTAGAATCTATATTGACATTTCAAAAGCCAAATGTGACAGTATGTTTGCTGAGGGATTGCTGACATGGCTTCTCTACCTGAATTCATTTAAACTGGAACATGGGCATTATTTTTCCATTTCTCTTCAGAGCCAAGTAACCAGGCAACAGTAATTTTTTATTATTTTATCTTTTTTTTTTAATCCCCCTGAAAGAATCACAGTAAACTCAAAAGAATCTTTTTTTTGGCCACACCGCGCAGCATGTGGGATCTTAATCCCGACAGGGATGAAACCCACGCCCTTGGCAGTGAAAGTGCAGAGTCCTAACCACTGGACAGCCAGGGGATTCCCTAAAGGAAATAATTTTTAAATCCATAAATGTTTTTCTCATAATTCAGGGCCTTAGACTACAGAGGTGTATATTTTTAAAGTTTGATGGCATTTATGGTGAGTAAGTATACTAGATTTTTATAAAATTGTTTATGAAACCGGTTCCTCTGGGTATTTGGCTTTCTAATCTCTTTTCTTCTTTGTCCTTGCAAACTGTTGGAGCAATTTAAAGACAATTACTAGGGATGAGGTGATTTCAGACTTGCATTTTTCAAGAATTAAGTAGTATGGAAGGATGAAAGGTTAAATTAGATGGTTGATGTCCCGGGAAGAGGAAGAAACTAAAAAAGAAAATAAGGAGGAAAAAGTGGAATAAAATTCATTCAAAAGTACAGCTAAGACGTTTAAAAAGAAAATTGGAAAATGGGAAATGATAATGAGACTGGGGTCCCCATGATCTTTTTGCCTTTATTTCCATTTTTATAAGGTCATAGAATGTTAGAGATGAAAAGTATCTTAGAAGTGAATCCACAATAAATCCTGTCCTACTCATCTTGGTCTCCCCTGGTTCCTTTACAGAGAAAACGTCTCAATAAATGTTGACTAATGGAGGGACTAGTGTCCACTGAACACTTGCTTTGGGGAGCACTCTGCTAAGTGTGTGTCACATGCTACCTTGATTGAAGTCTGAAGGAGATATTGACGGACTCCATTTTATAAATGAAAAACTGAGAAGTTCAGTTACTTGTCCAAGATCACAGTTTAGTGATGAAACCAAGATTCAACTTGTGTCAGTCCTATGCCCACCACCACCCAATCTTGCCA